GAGGATCCTCCCCCTCCCATCATCCCCTTTGAAGATCCTCCTCCCATCCCACCACCGGATCCTCCACTACCTCCCCCTCCAATTATGATCTTCGCTCCTGATCCACCTCCAGATCCTCCTCCCATGCCACCTCCACAGCATCCAGAGGATCCTCCACCACTTCCCCCTCCCATCATGCCCTTTGATCCTGAAGAGCCACCACTGGATCCCCCACCACAGCATCCAGATGAGCCTCCCCCTCCTCCTCCTCCACCACCAGAGCTGATGATGATCTTCTGGCTGCCACCTCCGGATCCTCCTCCGCAGCAGGATCCACCTCCTCTCCCTCCTGAGCCCCCGCAGCAGGAGGAGCCCTGGGACTGGTGGCTGGAGGAGCCGTGGCAGCAGCAGCAGCAGCTGTGGCACCCGCCAGACATCCCGTGGCAGCTTTGCCTGGAGCACATCTCAGCAGCCACCCTGCAAGGAACAGCTCTTTACTCAGGGCAGCCACCACCCTCCCCAGGATTTCCCGCAGCAGCCCAGCAACACTTTGCAATGTCCAGAATCATCATTTGAAGCCTTTTATCCCAAAGCTGTTCCGTGTCCATCTCTACACTGGTGAAAGACTTCGAGGAGCACGGGGTGATCCCGCTGCGTCCACAGGAGATCTAAATCCATGTGCCCTCCCACCTCCACCCACCAGGCAAACTTCACCAAAGCATTTCTGTTTTGCAGGAAGGGAAGAGCAGAATCTCTCCGTGGGGCAGAACTGGACTTACCCCTCTGGGCTCTGACCACGTTCACCACAGAGCAAAGCCGAGCGAATGAAGGCCCGGGAGATCCCCCAACTTTTATACTGCTTTTCCCAGGTGGGAAGTGAGGCATCCAAAGGAATGGTGATGGGTTTATTTACTGAGCAGTGTCCTCCTTCAGCCCACTTGTCCTGACTCACGGGATCGGAGCGATGCCTCTCCAGTGCATCACTTCCTCGGCTGCGCCGCAGGTCCCACACGTGAGCTCCGCTCCCGAGGTTGAATTCCCAGGATTCTGGGGCTCAGGTTAGCACCCTCCACTCCAGCCAGGAGACGCTGCTGGGGTGGGGACTGACAGCAGAAGGGGCTGTGGAGCCTCGTGTTTGTGGTGTGTTACAGGCTGGGGGCACACGGGGGGGTTGTTGGGGCGTCCTGTGCCAGGAGTTGGACTTTGATGATCCTCGTGGGTCCCCTCCAGCTCAGGACATTCTGTGATTCCAGGATTCTCTGCCCACGGAGATGCCCAGGGAAGTGGAGGGGTCTGCACTGGGTGGGACTGGTGCTGCTGGGGCAGCAAAGGAATCTCCCATGGATGGATTCCCCACTGCCCCAGCCAGGGGTGGACCATGACTTGGGTTTGACTCCAGCACTGGGGACAGGGCAGAGGCCAGGCAGGTTTGATACCCCCTCTGGGAGGAAGGGTGACACCTATTTTGGAAAG